ACATGGATGGCTCTGGAGGCCGTCCACATGTATCTGGCCCTCGTCAAGGTGTTCAACACCTACATCCCCCGCTTTATGGTCAAGATCGGACTTGCTGGATGGGGTACGTGACTGATTTGTTACTTACATTTTACCTGCACGAGTTCATGTTTTATCGTTTGAAGGCTGCTTTTTTGAAACAGTTTAGTCTGTCAGAGAGCAGATGAGCTCATAATGTTTTGTTTCTTTAAAGGCATTCCTCTCGTCGTAGTCATAATTGTCATAGCTATTAATAAAGACCACTATGGCCTTGTGACATACGGGAAGTATGCAAACGGGGTGACTGATGATTTGTGAGTAATAATCCCAATTCTTCTCAGCACAATATTTATAAAAAATATATTCTATATAAGTTATATAAAATTATTTGTAATATTTTAATGTCAAATTAAACTGAATATGAATGAGGAAACATTACAACTTTCTTTAATGCCCTTATTGTATTTTCTCTCTCTCTACAGCTGCTGGATAAAAAACGACATTGTCTTCTATGTTGCTGTGGTGGCGTACTTCTGTCTTGTCTTCCTGCTGAACTTTACCATGTTTATCGTGGTGATGATCCAGCTGTGTCGCATTAAGCAGCAGAACCCTCACAATGTGCAGAATCGCAGCGGCTGGCAGGAGATGCGCAGTGTGGCTGGACTCACCGTGCTTCTGGGCCTCACCTGGGGCTTTGCTTTCTTCGCCTGGGGTCCTGTTAACCTGCCCTTCATGTACCTGTTTGCTATTTTTAACACTTTACAAGGTGGGTACCAATTTGCACAGATGCTCTACCATTCTTGAAAGGCTAAATTTACCATATTTACTTTCTTAAAAAATGTCTCTGGTATTACTGTGCACTATTTATCATGGCAAGTTATTATAAAGAAAAGTAAAAAGTGTTCCAGGTTCCTTGGAAAAAAAGATTTGACAAATTATATTATTTAGGAATGTCAAAGATAACAATTATTGTGAAACCACAATACAAATATATCTGAACTGCATTGGAAATTTCTGTCTTTAGGTTTATACATCTAACATTGAACAAAATTAACTTATTACAAATTCAATATTTTCCAGATAATATTTTCATTTCATTTAATTAATTATTAATTAATTTCATTCATTTTAATGAATTAATTTAATTAATTGAACATTAATTTTTAATACATTTTTAATTAATAAATTTTATTTATTTGACTTTGGTACAGTAAAAATATAAAAGCCAGTTATTTAATTCCACATAATATCACATGATTTCTCACAAAGTATAAAGTGTCTTTATATATATATATATATATATAAATATATGGCTGACTTTATATTGGAAGGGGGTCCCTTGCAAGGTTATTAACATATTTGTGGGTCTCTGGCGAGCAAGTTATATATATATTTTTTACTACCATTCAAAAGTTTGGGATCAGTAAGATTTTTTGAAATGTTTTGCATTATCTTATTATTACAATTTAAAATAAAATATATTTAAAAATATAATTTATTCCTGTAATAGTAAAGCTGAATTTTCAGCATCCTTACGCCATGCTGAAGATCATCTCTTTTTGGTGCTCAAATAACATTTAATGTACAGTGTTTAATGTTAATGTAGAATGTAAAAGTTTTTACTGTCACTTTTGATCAATGTCTTTGCAGAATAAATGTATTACATTAGAAATATATACATGTTAATGACCTCAAACGTTTGAATGGTAGTGAATGAATGAATGAATGAATCCAGACTAGTGAACAGTAATAATTTTTAACACTCTCCATTTGTCAGGATTGTTGTGTTCAGGTGCTACTTAAATTAGTTTCACATTACACAACCCTCTGTGCCAGAGTTCCTTTGTGGAATCCGGAACATTATTGGGTGACACAGGTCAGGTTTATTTTTAGCATTCTGATGGACTGTTGATGCTAGAATGTATCTGTTCCCTTGCAGGATTTTTCATCTTTGTGTTCCATTGTGCCATGAAAGAAAACGTCAGACGACAATGGAGGACATACCTGTGTTGTGGCAGCCTGAGGCTGGCAGAAAACTCAGGTAAGAGGCCTTTGTAAGTTCATGCAAATGACTGACTTGCTTTTATGTCATGTATTTATCTAATTACTGCCTTTCTTTCTTGTATGCAACAGAATGGAGTCGCACAGCAACTCAGAAGATAAACAAAGCCTCCAAGAAAAGAATGTTTTCATTCCGCTCGGCGAATTCTAACAATTCTAGCTCATCTTTCCTGAACCATGACAGCTTGGCATCTGATACACCTATAGATGTTGGTGAGTATTACCTGCTAGACGGGCTGTTAATCAGCTTTCCGCATGTTTATAACCTGAAATTCCTATTTGAAACAGCAGGTGATGCTAACTGATCTTTAAATGGTAGCACAACCCTCTTCCACGTTCTCTTTTATTATTTCTGTTTTAGTCACACACATTCAGCTTGATTTAAATTAGACAGAACAGAACCTATTATTAAAGGACTAGTTCACCCAAAAATGAAAAATTGCTGAAAATGTACTCACCCTCGGACCATCCGAGATGTAGATGAGTTTCTTCATCAGAACTGTTTTGGAGAAATCTAACATTACATCACTTGCTCACCAATGCAGTGAATGGGTGCCGTCAGAACGAGAGTCCAAACAGCTGATAAAAACAGCAAATTTTAATTTTTGGGTGAACTATTCCTTTAATTAATTAAAGTCAATTAAAACATCTTTTATACTTTTAAACATTTATAGTTGAATAATCAATATTTCTACACTGGCCAGATTAGGTCTATTGTGAAAGAAGTGCAAAATGTGAACTCTTTTTCTGTATTTGCAGGCAACCCGATGGACGACAGGACAATAACTGCAGCAGAAGAGCCCAGATCAGGTTCTGATGTGGTATTGAATGAGATCAACAACCAGTACAGAGGTCAGAGGTCATACTGAATGAACTGATCACAGCCGGCACGAGCGTGTGTGCATGTATGTGTGTAGTATGGTCTAAAACTGTATTTCACTGCTATTTTAAATTTACATAAAGTATTGTGTGTTGTATATACAACAGAAATATTACTTCAAATGAAGCACTTTATTTAATGCAATTAAATAATGAAGCTACCACGACAATGCAAAACCTTTTTTTAACCACCACCAACAAAAAATATTTGATGGTTTAGGTTGCATCATTTTCTGTGAGTAGTTGGATAATTGTGCAATTGGAGCAAATTGGATAGTGTATAAAATGAAATGATGTGGTTATATGGTTCAATGACTTGATTATTTTATATATCTGTATGAGTCTAGATCAGGGATGGGCAACTTTGATAGTGACGGGGGCCAGCATTTTTTCTCCTTTATACCAAGGGGCCAGATTACTAATCCACGTCCACACACCTTTTACACCGTCTTACTCAATTTCCTTTTTATTGAAGGAAATGAAAGTATAACTAATGTCATTTGTTTTTAAAGATTTAATTAAGTATAAAACTTGTGCTGTTATGCTAATTCGCAACAAACAAATATACAGAGGTCCTTTTTTTATTAGTATCCTAAAGAACATTCTCAAAACAACCTAAAAGGACAGTTAAAAAGGACTTAATAAAAATTTTTAAAAAAAAATTATTCCAAATGGTACCATAAAATAACCTGGTATCTGCAGGATTTTTAAAATCAAATTAAAGACCTTTAAAGAACTTTTTAAGACCTGCACTTCACATTTCAGCCTTTAAAATTTTTTTAAGAAAAGGGATGTCAAAAGTATCAATTATTATATTAATTTAAACAATTATTATCAATTAATTATTATACCCCAACTACCTCTTATAATTTAGACTTTTTGTACCATTTAAGAGTTTGCATGGCCTTAAATGTAAACAATTGAGCTGAAGACGTTTTAAGGACCCGCGGAAACATTAATAAGAACATAGTCCAGTGCAAACATTTCTGTCATGCATTTGGCAAAAAGCTTTTGTTGACTATGAATTTTACCTTTGAAATTTGAGGCAAGTGCAACTCTGGCGTCCCCGTTCATGGTCTTGATAATGAAAATGTTTTCATGGTCAGTTTTTCATTTATTATTTGCTAATGTTAATGAATGTTTACATTAGAGTGCACGTCCTACTACGCTGAAAAGCAATCATAAACTGAAAGCAATCTTTACGTGACTTGCTTTTCAAATGTTTTAAAATTGATCATCCGAGTCTAATATGATCCAGCGGGCCGTACTAAAAGACACTGCGGACCCATCCCTGGTCTAGAACATTCAAAATCATGTATGTTGTCACATGTATTTTATTTTTGTATTTTCATAGCTTTTCAAAGTAATAAAATGTACAACATAACAGTATACAGTAAATGCTGGCTGGTTGCTATACAATTTCCATGAATCAGAGTGCACAGGTTTTTAAAAGTCCACCAGGACTTTTAAGAGTTATGTTTACAAGGAGAACGGCTTCTACTGAAACATTTTTTTTGAGGTTCATGGCATCAAATGTCTACAAGAGTTTTGTTTGAGGCAGTTAATAGCAAGTATATTCCTTTTTATTTCCTTTTGGACACATGTAAATCTGTCTATTCACACTTTTTCTTAACTGTAATGTTGCATACTGTTGTCTAGTGTTATGCTTTCACAGATTTCAGATCTTCCCACAACTATGTACAATACCATTCAAATACCTTTTAAAAAAAAAAAGAAATTAATGCTTTTATTCATCAAGGATGCAATAAATTGATCAAAGAAGACCGTAAAGACATATTGTTGTCAAAGATTTCTATTTCAATTAAATGCTGTTGTTTCGAATGTACAGTTTCCACAAAAAATATTAAGCAGCACAGCTGTTTTCATCATTACTAATAAGAAATGTTTCTTGCGCATTAAATGTTTCTAACATTTAAAATATATTAAAATAGAAAACAATATTTCACATTATTACAGTTTTACTGTGTTTCTGAGCATAAGACCATCTTTCAAAAACATTAAAAATCTTACCAACCCCAAACGTTTGAATGGCAGAGAAAATGTCATGGATGAAACTGAACTGTGATTGGTCCCTTTATGTCACTTAGACAGCTACTTCCTGTTCAAGTGGGCGGTTCTAACAGGAAAAAAACACGGCCCAAACTTTGATGAGTCAAAAGTCCTACTATGCGAGACTAGCTTGAGAGTTCTTTTATTTAATTTATTCACAAGTTTACAAGTTCATATAATTCTTGAGCATATAAAGCAGGTTGGCTTGGTTTTGAGTTTCCGCTCTCGGATCTAATGAATTCTAGAAGATAAAGCTGGGGTGGTGGATGGATCCCATAAGAATGGTCACAAGAGTGAGGTAAGCTACAGTATATCCTTGAATGAGATGAACATGCTCCCTGCGTTGAGAGTTTATGACAAAAGACATTCCTTCACATGCTATAAGAAATGCTAAATGTTTAAGAGATCTCCATATCTAATGTCTATCTGGATCTTTCTCCAGTTACACTTAATCAAAACTGTCAGGTCACTTGTGCTTATTGTCAGAGCTTTCATTTTGACAGCCATCTCAGGCCCAAAGTTCAACTGTCTTGTGCAATAAGACTAGTTTATCCTGGACTTATTACAGCGACAGATCAGAAAACTCAAGCTACACGATCAAGAGTAGATACACCAGTAGATGATGTTGAAGAGAAGATATGCCAGTGGAAAGATGATTCTGGAGTACGAGTCAATCATGTAGCTGTTGCTCATTATGAATCGGATGTTTTTGCCGACTGAGCGTTTCCTCCAGAGTCTCGTGCCTTCGGTGGGTGGAGGCTCGGTGGAGGAGGCTCTGGGTGGGATGGTCCGCGTCGTGCTGGGTGTGGTGGGGAGCTCGGGGAAAGGCGATACATCTATGTCATCGTGAAAACAGCCATCGTAGGCCATAGCCTGGGTTGCGTCGTAGGAAACTGGAAGCTTTGGTAGGAAGAGAAACGCGAGAAAGTAAATATCTGTTATGGAGTACAAACAACATTGATAAAAAATGTACATTAATTTATATTCAATTTATACATTGAAGTCAATGAAAAATGCCATTTACAATCCATTTGATTTGAGTTGTTACTTTTGTAAAGCCAAAATAGATTAATGTTTTTTTCTTCAACCACTGCAAGAATTTGGTTTACATTTAAGGGGGTCATCGATGCCCATTTTCCACAAGTTGATATGATTCTTTAGGGTCTTAATGAAAAGTCTATAACATACTTTGGTTAAAATTTCTCAAAGGTAGTGTAAAACAACACCCTTTTTACCCTGTCAAAAACAGCTCTTTTCAGAGCAAGCCGTTTTGTTGCAAGCCGCTTTAAATGCTAATGAGCTCTGCTGACCCACTCTTCTACTCACAGATACTCACTTCTACTGTAGATGAAGCTGGATCACAAATGATTCGTGCGAACATAGACGCATTTAGGCAGATCGGGGGGCGCATTCCCTTCAAAAGCAAAAGTAATCCACTCAATCTTCAGCAGCTCATATGTCAGGAGTAAATGATGACTGCTATGTTCATTAT